AAAAAGTAAAAACAGTCTAGGATCATGTACTGCATTTAACTATTACATATAGAGCTTTCTTTAATATGGAACAGTTCCATCAGGCTCTGCCTTTCATGGCCATGGCATTTAGAAAAGAACACACCAGGCTATTTCCAGACCATTCCTCAATTTGAATTTGTTTGACGTTTCCTCCTGATTAGATGAAGATTGTGCATTTAGGACAAGATTGCTACAGAGGTGACACTGTGTTCAACTCGGGGTGTGAAATCAGGAGCTGTATGACGTTGGTGTGTCGCGTTAGTGGTAAGATTAATGACAATTATTTGGCTAAAGTGATATCTAGAGTTTTCCACTGAAAGGTTCAGTTAATCGGTAATTTATGCAAATATCCTGCTCCTCATTCAAGGTCCATCTGCTAGTTTGCGCATACATTGATGATTGCTTGGAGGCCATGGGATGGTGGCCAAGGGGCGAAGTTCTAACTCCATTACTCCATTCACATTTTCTAGTGGCATTGTATCTTCAGGTGAAATTTTCCTCATTCTCCCATCTATCTATTCATTAACTTACTTGTGGTTTTTTGAGAAAAACCCTGGGGTTTTTTTTTTTTTTTTTTTTTTTTGAGATAGGGATTTGCTATGTAACCCTAGTTGGGTTGGCTTGGAACTTACCATGTAAACCTGGCTGGCCTGAAACTCAGAGATCCACCTGCCCCTATCTAAATCCACTTGCCTCTGTCTCTACCTCCCCTGTACAGGGATTAAAGGTGCATAATACCATACTCTCTAGGCAAACATTTTATCCATAAATGTTTCAGTATATCTCTAGAGGTAAGGCTTGTTTATTTTTTTTCAGCCTAGCTATAATGCCAGTTATGTTTAAAAAACAATTTGTCACCTGGCGTGGCAGCACACAGCTTTAATCCCAGCACTTGGGAGGCAGAGGCAGGCGGATCTCTGTGAGTTCAAGGCCAGCCCAGGCTACATAGTGAGTTCCAGGACAACTGGGGCTACAGGGAGACCCTACCTCAAAAAGACCAAGAAAAAAAAAAAAATTCGTCATTACCACACATTGATAGGATTTTTTTTTTTTTTAATTTTATGTGTATGTGTGTATTGTCAGCATGTATGTGAGTGCACCTCTGTCATGCAATGCCGCGGAGGCCAGAAGAGGGTGTTGGATTCCCCTGGAAATGGAGTTAAGGACGGTTCATAGCTGCCATGTGGGTGCTGAGAATTGAACCCAGGTCCTCTGCAAGAGCAGTCATTTCTCTTAACCGCTGGGAGCCCATAGCTCCGATAGGATTTTTTTAATCTAAAGTTTTTCAAAGTTTATAATTTTCTATTTTCTTTTAGTATGTATGAATGTTTTGCCTACATGTATGTAAATGTACCAATTGTGTGCAGTGTCTGTGGAGGCCAGAAGAAGGTGTCAGATTCCCTAAAACTGGAGTTACAGATGGTCGTTAGCTGCAGTGTGGGTGCTGGAAACCAAACCTGGGTCCTCCGGATGAGCAGCCAGTACTTTTAACCACTGAACCATCTCTCTAGTCCCCCAAAGTCTATAAATTTTTAAAAATATAACTGAGGCAGGGCATTGAGACATGTACCTTTAATCCTAGCACTCAGGAAGTAGAGACAGGCAGGCAGATCTCTGTGCATTCCAGGCTAGTCAGGGCTACACAGTGAGACCCTGTCCTGTCCCAAAAACAACAACAAATACACCCACCACTACCACCACCACCACCACACACACACAGTGGGGAAAAAAAGAACAAATAGAATTCAAGCATGTCCAGTTCTGTTTCTGTCCCTTGTCTGGAGTTACCATCCTCAGAGTAACACTGTTATCTCTTCTGAGTGTTATTGGAGATTCTTTCTCTAGATTTAGAGATTTCTTTCTTTAGATTTAAGCATTTTCTGTCTGTCTGTCTGTGTCTCTGTCTCATGAAGAAGCAGCATAACCAGGCATGGAAGCACACACCTGGAATCCCAGCACCAGGGAGACTTGAGGCAGAGGATTATGAATTCCAGGCTGGAGTGAGCTACAGCAAACTCTGTCTCAAAAGAAAATGAACATAAATGCTCTGCAGTGTTTATTCCTCCCACTCCCCTCAGTATGCCTCGGGTACCTTTCAGTACGGTGCACTTAGTTCTACTCTGTTTTCTTCCTTCTCATTGACTCCATAGATGACTATGATGACATTTCAAGCACTCTCTGTCATAGACATTTTGGTTGTTTCTTTACTTGCTTTGGATGGTTAGTTGGTTAGTTGTTTGGTTTGAGACTGGGTCTTTTGTAGTCAAGGTCTTGAGCTCTGGATCCTCCTGCTTCCCCTCTGGGGCACTGGGATGGCAGGCACATACCATCATTCCTGAGCTTTTATTTCTTTATTTTCATTTTTAGTACATTCTTTTTCATGTGTATATAAGGAGGAGAGTGCCACAGTACACCTGTGGAGATCAGAAGACAATTTGTGGGAGTCTGTCTTTCCTTCTACCCTGTGAGTCCCGGGGATTGAACTCAAGTGGTAAGCCTTGGCAGCAAATACCTTTATCCTCTGAGCCATCTTGCCACCCCCTGCGCTTGCACTTTTTGAGGCAGAGTTTCATTCTAGGCAAGATATCTGTCAGTGAACTATGTATTCCCAGGTCCAAAGGCTCATGTAGCCTAGACTGCTCTTAAATTCTGATCCTCCAGCCAGGTGCTGGGATTATAGGCATACACTACCACACTCAGCTTGGCCCAGTTTTGGTATCATTATTTTATTATTTTTTATTGTTATGTTTCTGTGGGTTTTTTTTGTTGTTGTTTCGTTTTGTTTTTTGAGACTTTGGGTCTAGAACTCACTGTGTAAACCAGGCTGGTCTTGATCTCACAGAGATCTGCCTGCCTCTGCCTCAAAAGTGCTGGGATTAAAAAGGCATGCACCATCATGCATAGCCTTTGTCATTATTTTAAATGGTAATAAAATTTTTCAAATTTTTGTATGTGTGCAAATTGTGATAAATTATTGAAAATAGTGTTGCTGGATCAAAGAGCAGATTTAGAAAGAAATTTCAATGGTAATGACAAGGTACCGACCAAAACTCTAGTAAAAATTTATGTTCTACAAATAAAGTCATGAAGACACTCACATAAAATAACAAATAAATAATAAATATTAAAAATTAGGTATTTATTCTTTTCTGGCAGCCTCAAAGCCAACACTGGATCCCATCATTACTGTTGAGGGACTTAGAAAACGAGCAAGTCGGAATCCTGTAGAATCTGCCATGGAATTGAAGGAGAAACGGTCTCGAACACAGGAAGCAAAAGATATCAGAAGAGCCCAGAAGGAAGCCGCTGGCTTCCTTGACAGGAGCACCTCTTCCACTCCTGTCAAATTCATAAGCCGAGGCCGGAGGCCGGATGTGATTCTTGAGAAAGGAGAAGTAGTTGACTTTTCTTCCTTGAGCTCCTCTGACAGAACCCCCCTGACAAGCCCATCTCCTTCTCCCTCTCTGGATTTCTCTGCCCCGGGGACACCAGCTTCACATTCTGCCACACCTAGCTTGCTTTCAGAAGCAGATCTGATCCCAGATGTAATGCCACCCCAAGCCCTGTTTCATGGTAAGACTTTCTTTGCTTGGGTCCTCTGCCTTGGGGAGGGCCTTATGCTCTGCATGCCTTTCCTATGTCTTGAGGACAGTGCTTTATTTTTGTTTGTTTTGTTCTAATTTTTTTTGTTTGTTTTTTTTTGGTCTTTTTGAGACAGCATCTCCCTGTAGTCTCAAGTGGCTTGGCATTTGCTAAGGAGACCAGGCTGGCCTAGATCTCACAGAGATCTGCTTGCCTCTGTCTCCCTAGGGCTGGGATTAAAGGCATGCACCACCATGCCCAGCTTACAACAATGCTTTATCCTTCACACAGATGATGATGAGATGGAAGGTGATGGCGTCATAGACCCAGGGATGGAGTACATCCAACCTCCAGCTGGGTTATCAGCTTCTGGACTGATAGGGAGCAGAAAGAAGGTCAGAGGTCCTGAGCAGATAAAGCAGGAGGTGGACAGTGAGGAGGAAAAGCCAGACCGGGTGGATGCGGACAGTGAGGACACAGATTCAAACACCTCTTTGCACACCAGGGCTCGAGAAAAGAGGAAGCCTCCCCTGGAGAAGGACATGAAGCCCAAAGGGCCTAGGTATACACCTTTGAGTATCTATGAGGAGAAGCTGTTGCTCAAGAGACTGGAGGCATGCCCCAGTGCCGTGGCCATGGCTCCGGAAGCTCGGAGGCTGAAGCGGAAACTGATGGTCAGGCAAGCCAAGAGGGATAGGGGCTTGCCACTCTTTGACTTAGATGAGGTTGTGAATGCTGCTCTTCTGTTAGTCGATGGGATTTATGGAGCCAAAGATGGAGGAGCTTCTCGGCTTCCAGCTGCACAAGCCACGTACCGTACCACCTGCCAGGACTTCCGGATCTTAGACAGATACCAGGTGACGTGAGCTTGTGCTCTAAGACTGTTGGAGAGTGAGTGGGGCAGGTAGCACCAGGCAGTGGACACTGACTGTGTGCCATTTGAAATGAGTAATTTGGGGAGAAAAGACCAAGGGAGAAAAATGTAAAACTTGCAGGACTTCATGTTTTAAAGTAGATCATTATAAATGCCCCTTAATACACCCGAGGTTTTCTTTCTTGTTGGGCATTCAAGGTTCAGCCTAGACATCTTCTGTCTCTGTCTCTTTGAGGGTAGCTCTATATGGTCTGTTCCATGGTTTTGATTGGCAGATTTGTTGGGGACATAGTGTTTCAGACCCTCCAAAGCAAGAGCTATGGGTGAGTAAGCATCTGTGCAGTTAGAGCCCAACATGAAGAAATTCGAAGTCAACATTACCTCCAGGTGTTCAGTGGAACTCAGGTTCCATGCATCTTGTGAGAACAGTTCCACTCAGGACTGCCAGGTCCTCCCACCAGCAGCAGGAGAGGTCTTGCTTCCCTCTGGTTTTGCTAACACTTGATCTTAATCAGCCTGAGGTTTGCCAATGGCTACAAAGTGAACTCTTGCCTCATACTTAATTTCTTTGATTACAGGCAAGTTGAACATTTTGTTTCCTATTTGTGAAATGCCTGTTCAGAGTCTGCAAGCTTGCAGGATCTTTGTCACCTGTTCTAACAGTCAGTACTGTCCCAGGCACAAGGCCTCCTCTTTCGGTTATCCTGGGCATTTGGTGTGGGGTCTCTTTCCACTTGCTACTCTCCCTTTTGGAATTCTGGAAGCTCCAATTTCCTGTCCTCTGTTTCTTCTGTTTCCTCTGTTCAGCCTTTTAGGAATTCCCTGTTGTTTGGATTTGGATGCAGAACTCTGTAGAACAGGAATTGTCATACCTGCTCTGTAAAGTGTCAGGTGGTGCATCCTATGGGCGCTGCAGGCCACACAGTCTGGGTTGTAACTGCTGACCAGTCTATGTAGTGAGAGTAGCCATGAGTGACTCCAACTGTGTCCCAGTGAAGCTTCCTTTACTAAAATGGGCAAGGACTAGATTTGGACCTAGTGGGTTGTAGATTGCCTAAGCCTATACTTTAGACCTTAATTTCTATCTTCCCTCTTCCTTCTGGTCTTTGCCTCGTTTTGAAGGATTAGTCTGCTTGCCTGACTTTTGGAAGGAACCTGCCTCAATAGGCAACTCCCCCAATCACCCAGTCTTAGGACTAGCTGTGTTCCCACCTCAGCTACCTGTGCAGAATCTCTGTGAGTGTTTCTAAGTGTCCAGTCTTCTGTTGAAGGCAAAGGGGAGAGTATTTCCTGGGTCAGTAAACCTAGAGCTTCTCAAGCTAGGGACCTGGTGGCACAAGCCTGTAATCCCAGCTACACAAGATGCTGAGACAGGATCTCAAGTTCAGGGCCTGCCTGACTACAGAATATTTTCAAGGTCAATTTCTGCAACTTCCTTGTGAAACCCTGTCTCAAAATATAAAGTAAATATGGGACTGGAGAGATGGCTCAGTAGTTTAAAGCACTCAGTAGTTAAAGCTGCTCTTGCAGAGAACTAGAGTTGTTCATTCCCAGAATCTACATGGTGGCTAACAATCATCCTTAACTCCAGTTCCAGATCTAATGGCCTCTGCTAGCTTCTGTAGGCATTGTACACATGGGTGTATAAATGCAGCCAAAACACTCATACACATAAAATTTAAATAAATAAAAAAATATATTAAATTAAATTCAAAAACATGTTTACTCACAGGCCTGTGCACGCACATCTGTGCTGGTATGTGCAAGTGCCTAGGTCCAATCCCTAGTGCAGGAACAAAAAAGCAAACTTCCCCCCAAGATCCTCTTAATCCATGGTTCTGCTCCTCACTGTAAGCTTCAGTGGTACCTGCTGGCCACTCCACCCCCCACCCCACCCCCCTCCCCTACAGTTGCTGCCATTTCCTGGGCTCTTCTGTGGTGAGTCACCCTGCCCCTGGCCTGTCTTTAGCGCCCGTCTGCACCACAAGTCTGGGTTTTGATTTTCTTTGGTCTCTTAAGTTGTTTGCTGCTTACCAAAATGCTTTTGTCTACAGTTATCAAGTCACCTGTTCTTTGGTTCTTGTGTGTTTTTCTTTTCTTTTTTTTTTTTTTTTTTTTTTTTTTTTTTTTTAATTGGAGACAGGGTCTCCCTGTAGCATCAGCTGCCTTGGAGTTCGCTATGTAGACCAGGCTGGCCTTGAACTGACGGAGATCCACTTGTCTCTGCCTCCTGAGTGCTGGGATTAAAGCTGTGTGCTGCCATGCCCGACTTGGGTTTGTGTTTTTCATCTGTATACTTCATTTATTTTTTAATGTGAAATGTGTCATACAGATGCACAGCACAGAGCATACAGGCATGGTTTAGAAATTAATAAAATGTCTGAGTGTCAGTCTCTGCGTTAAGAAGTGTTGCAAACACCTTCTCATATGTCCATCTGCCCCTTACTCTTCCCACCCTCCTAGAGGGCTACTGTTTTTCAGTGTGAATTATTGCTCTGCTTTTTTTTTTTTTTGGTCTTTTTGAGACAGGGTCTCCCTGTAGCCTCAGGTGATCTGGAACTCACTATGTAGACCAGGATGGCCTTGAACTCACAGAGATCCACCTGCCTCTGCCTCCCAAGTGCTGGAATTAAAGGCATGTGCCACCACACCTGGCTTCCTCTGCCGTGTGTGTGTGTGTGTGTGTGTGTGTGTGTGTGTGTGTGTGTGTGTTTGGGTGGGGCCGTGTGTGTGTGTGTGTGTGTGTTTGGGTGGGGCCGGGTCCAACATAGTCTTATATAGCCCAGTTTGGCCTGGAGCTCACCAGGTAGCCTAGGCTGGTCATCAACTCTTGATCTAGCTCCCTCTACCTCCCAAGGCTGGAATCATAGACATGTGCTCCTACTCCCAACAACTATATACTTTTCTTGATTAAATAGAACAGAATTAAGCACAAATCTAGGAATTCAGAGAGAATGCTTTATTAGATAAAGCCTTCTGTTTTAAATAATAAAGATTTGTTTTGTTCCTTGAGAGGTGAGCTGAGATGGACTTCAGGTGATCAGGTTCTTTAGTAACACAAGGTCACTCTCCGTACAGCAGGGGAAGCTGGATAGGAAACTCAACAGCAAAGGCAGCACAAAGGAAATCCTTATAGGTATAGACTTTAGCAGGGAAGGGAGGGGAGGAGGTTTAGCAGATTAGTGAAGGTGCTAGACTCTATATAAGGCTGTAATTTAGGAAGCTAATTCTATTGTCCTACCCTACCTTGGGGCTCTTACTAGCTAGGAGCTCAGCAATTTAGGGAAGGTACTAGATAGGATATAGGGTTTGGCACTTCCTCTATGGGGATAGCATTTATGCTTCAGCAGAAGATGTTTGGAGGTCTTAGTTATGGATTAAATTGTGTCTTCCTGGAGAATATATTGAAAGCCAGACATGATATCAATAGTCTATAACCCTAGCACCTGGGAGGCTGGAGCAGAAAGATTGAGAGTTAAAGCCTGGTCCAAGACTGTACAGCAAGTTCCAGGCCAGCTTGGGCTATATAGCAAGACAGATTTTCTAAAACAGAAAAACAAAAATGTCTGATATCCCAACCCCATGTATCTGTGAATGAATGTGACCTTACTTGAAAATAGTCTTTACATATTTAATTAGTAAAAATGAGTTTAGACCATATAGAATGAGTCCATAATCTAATCTGACTGATGTCTTTGTAAAGAGAGGAAAAGAGGTCCAGAGATGGCTTAGGGGAGAATGCCATGTGAAAATGGAAATGTAAGCTACAGTGATGTGTCCACATCCCAAGGAACACCAGGGGTTTCTGGCTTAGAGAGGCTGAGGGAAAGGCACAGTATGGGTTGTCTGCTGGTACATTCTGAGAGTTTGTCCCTGATCAACCTTGATTTCTGACTTCTGGCCTCTAGAACTATGAGACAATAAGTTTCTTTTGTTCAAAGTGGCCTGGTTTGTGGTACAGGTAGCTGTCCATTTCCATGGCAGGGGGGTACTCAGAGATTCAACCAACTACAAAGTTGAAAATATTAGAGGAAAAGAATTGTATCTACACTGAGCATGTGCAGACTTTTCTTGTTATTCTTATAAAGAGATGATTTCAAGTGTGTGGGAAGATATGCTTAGGTTATATGCAAATACTGAGCCATGCTGTATAACAGATGTGAACATTCACAGGTTTTGGTATACAGGGATCCTGGAACCAACTTACAGATACCAAGGACAACCAACCATATTTTGTCCTGGCAGGCCCAGGAAACAATCCCGTTCTGGATTTGACTTTCCAGGACCATGGCAGACATCTACTTAGGGGGTGAGATACTTTGCAGTTCCTTTCCTGAGCTAATATGTGTTTCCTCTAGGATTCTGGCAGTCAAAGCAGGTATCTGGGGAGGGGGTGCCCTCCATCTGTCAAGAGCCAATCCTGAGCATACAGGAGGCCCACAGCACTAGCCGAACACAGATGAAGTTCCAGGCCACCACTCCTTAGGCTTAAAGATGGCCCAGCAGCAGCAGAGACTTAGTGTCCACAACTTGGGTGTGTCAGCCCCTTGTCATGCTTGTCTGTGCATGTCGGGCTACCTTTGTGTGGGGGACCCCCCACCCCCCAGGGGTGCTAGGATCTTCCCTCCCTCCAGGTCCTTTGCTCCTCCTGGGTATTTATTCCCTCTCCTGGGGCCCATCTCTATCTCTTTGTAAGTTTACTCTGTTTTTTGTTGTTGTTGTTGTTGTTGTTATTTGTTGCATTTTGTTTTGTTTTTGGTCTCACTATATAGCTGTGGTTGGCCTGGAACTCACTATGCACATCTGACTGGCCTCAACCTCACAGAGATCCACTTGCCTCTGGCCTCCCAAGTACTAGGATTGCTGGTGAGTGCTACCATGTCTGACTAAATGTGATCCTTTTTTTTTTTTTGACATTTATTTTTATGTTTTGTGTGCACACACACACACGCACCACAGTGCACAAGTCAGAGGACAGCTTGCTAGAGTAAATTTTGAGAACCTGTGTGCCTAAAATATTTTTATTTCAATCTTGCATTTAAGTAATAACTTGTAAAATTCTAATTTTGTTTGACATTTCAGAAATGCAACTCCATTATCAATCATCTTGCATCTGGCCTTGCTCCTGAGAACCCATTGTCAGTCTTTTTCTTGCTTCTTTGTGGCCTCCTTTTAAAAATTTGCCCCTTTTCTGGAAGCTTTCAAATTTTTCTGGTTTTGATCGTCAGTACATTTTAAGTGCTTTTTCTTCTGTCCTTTGTCATGCTTGATAACTACTCTTGGTTAACGGTTGTTGTATGAACTTTTCCTGGGGAGAAACAAACATCTGTTTACTCTGGAAAGGGACACCAACAACAAACCAAAGAATCAGTTCCACTTAAGTCCAGCCTGGTGAAAACAGTGGGGTCATAGTCTTACTTCCTTCTCCTATTGCTGTCATAAAATATTGTGACAGAAGTGACTTAAGAGAGAAAAGATTTATTTTGGCTCCGAGTTCTAGTCATAGTCCATCATAGTGGGCATGTCATAGTGGCAGGAGCTTGAGGGCACTGATCACACTGCATCCATAATCAGGAACAGAGAGCAGTGAACACATGCTCCCTTTCTCCACTTACACAGTCCAGGATCCCAGCCAGGGAATGGCAGGCTCACAGTGGGCAGGTCTTCCCACTTCAGTTAATATAATCAAGATAATCCCCACAGGCGAATAGTCCCACCTTCCAGGTAATTCTAGATTCTGTCTAGTTGACAATGAATGCTAACCATCACAGTTGCAGGAGTGTGAAGGATTACTTATAGAAACATGGGCAACTTATGGGCCACTATACCACTAAGTGAAAAGTATCTCTCTCCCCTAATAACTATCATCTGTAAATCTTGGGCTAGGGAAGGACTTCATGTGCCCTCTCTAATACTATTAGCTGTCTATAAATCCTTAGGGAGGGACTTAGCCTAATGAGCCCCTCCATAATAGAAAGTTAATGTGCCCGATTTTGTGCAGGTCTCCTTCAGGAATCACAGCTGCTGATAGTTCAAGAGGGCACTGACCATGGCATGCCTGGAGGATGGCATTCCATGACAGAGGTGTCTTGTGTGTAGTATGGTATTTAGCCTGGTATTCTCTGAGCTTTCTATGGTTTGTGTCTGACATTCATTAGGAGTTGTTTTGCTTCAACTATGTTTCTGTTCCTCTCTTCTGGTATTCCCTTGTAGGTATTGTACAACTTTTGTAGTTTCCCACAGATGTGGATAGTACGTTCCATTCTGTTGCTTTTTAGTCCTTTTTCTCTTTGCTTTTCATTTGGGAAGTTTTTTTTTAAAAAAACTTTTTAAATTTTATTTTTTTTATTTTATGTGTATGCATGTATTGCCTGCATGTATGTAAGTGCACCCATGTTGTGCAATGCCTGAAGAGGACAGAAGAGGCCATCCAATTCCCTGGAACTAGAGTTACAGATAGTTGTTAGCTGCCATGTGGGTGTTGGAATTTGAACCCGGGTCCTCTGCAAGACCAGCCAGTGCTCTTAACTGCTGAGCCATCTCTCCAGCCCTTCATTTTTATTAACAGATGCTCAAGCTTAGAGAATCTCTTCAAAGCTCAGTTCACGTGATTTATGGGCCCACCCTCAAAGGCTTTCTTCATTTCTGTTACTATGTTTGGTTTCTAGTATTGCTTATTGGTTCTTTCTAAGAATGTGCATCTCTGTTTAAAGTACCATCTGCTCTTGGCATGTTTATCCATTAGAGTGCTTAACATAATAGCTATAACTATTTTAAATTTCTGCTCCAGGAATTTCATTATTCCTGCCCTGAGTTTGGTCTGGAGCTTGCTTTGTTTCTTTGAGGGGGAAGAGCAAAAGCCTGGTGTCTAGCCATGCCCTCTCAGCATTTAGTAAAATAGGAGGCTTTGTGCTAACTTCTCATTCTTTTTTCCAAAATCAGGCAGTCTTACCTCTCAGGGACCCTTTCTAGGACCAATGGCCCTGGTGCTGGGTTTTTGTTTTTTTTTTTCCTTCCTTCTGCTCACCCTCCTGGACTGTGGAGTGCTCAGGGCTGTCCACAGTGGTACCTCTTTGCTTTTTCAGGAAGACTCTAGCAGACAGTTGCCTGGCAAAGTTGGTAGCAGTAACCTATCCATAATAGTGCCTGAGAGGGGTATAATCAGGTTCCCACCTGAAAGGGGTTCCCCATCTTGTGTTCACATCTGTGGCCTTTCCCTTGTTGAGTTTGGGAAGAGATTAGGCAGCCCACCTAAAGAAGCACATTTTAACACTTCCACACATAGTTGACTTTGGAACAGTTTTTTTCTCCATCACTTTGCCATCCAACAAATGCAAATTTGAATAGCTAATACATGTCAGAATTATTCTAGCTAAGTGAGTTAAGGCTGAGCAGGCTCCTGCCATGGGAAGCTGATACACCAAAACAAAGATGACAGTGATCAACTCACTGAGCCCAGATCTCCCAAAAAGAGAGGGGTGGAAATGAGGAGCAGAGGGACCACTATGATCCTGGGAGTTAAGACCAGCCTCTCAGTGGAGGTAAGCTTAAAATAACTTGTGATTGACAAAGAAGGGCCTGGAGGAAGAAGGCTGGGATAGAAGGCCAGACACAGGCCCAAAGGCAGGAGAAAGACTGGTGGATGCGATGGAAACATCATGACAGCCCAGAAATAGGGTTCAGAGAGCTGAATCCACAATATAACATGATTAGGGCCTGCAGGATCCCTATAAGGCTGCGGTGAGGAGCATGAATTGTATTCTGTACAAATAATGGGAAGCCACATAGGAATTGTGAACCAGAGCAAGGAATTTATTTTTTATTTTATTTTTTATGTGTATGAGTATATTGCCTGCATGTATGTAAGTACACCCATGCCATGCAATGCCCCCAGAGGTCAGACGAGGCTATTGTATCCCCCCGGAACTGCAGTTAAGGATGGTTGTTAGCCACCATGCAGGTGCTGGGAACTGAACTTGGGTCGTCTGCAAGAGCAGTCATTACTCTTAACCACTGAGCCATCACTCCAGCCCCTAGTTTTTTTTTTTGTTTGTTTGTTTTTTTATTATTTTAATTTTATGTGTACACATGTATTGCCTGTATGTATGTAAGTGCACCTTTGTCATGCAATGCCTGCAGAGGACAGAAAAGGCTGTCGGATCCCCTGGAACTGGAGTAACGAACACTTGTTAGCTGCCATGTGGGTGCTGGGATTCAAACCCGGGTCTTCAGCAAGAATAGCCAGTATCCTTAACCACTGACCCATTGCTCCAGCCCCATAACCCCTAGTTTTTAAAAGAAGTATGTGTTCTGTGTGTGAAGAGTGGATGCTGTGGGTTAAGAGTGGCAGTAGAGGGGCCAATAGGACGCAGTGTGAGAGTGTTTGGGAGTCAGTGAAGGCAGTGGAAGTGGGAAGAAATCTAACATTCACAAGGCTCCACAGGACTCACCCTGAGACTAATATGATAGATTATTTTTGGACAACAGGGTCCACAAATTATCTGTTGCTGCATTTAAAACTACCCCCAAGCATAGTGACCTACCATATAACTACTAAACATGTCTTTGGATTCCGCTGGACTCAGCCCCATGGTTCTTTTACTTCATGAGCTGAAGGCTGGAGTCACCTCTGGCTGTTCACTGGGGAGCTGGGTTGGGACTAGACTGACTGGGATACCCCTCTTCTTCCAGAACCTGTCTCCATGCAGCCTCTAGCCATTCACTGGTCTAGCTGAGGCTACATGGCAGCCAAGCTTGGGTTAAGAGGAGCTGCCAGTTGTCTTTACATCCTAGGCTTAAAGTGCTAGAATGTTACTTCTGCCACTCTGATTGGTCAAAGCTGGATGCAAGGCCCACCCAGATTTGGGGTTGGGGGTAGGCTTTATCCCCTAATCTGAGAAGCTACTTACACCTACAAAGATGGGAGGAGTTGCTAGTGGCCATGTTTGGGAAAGGTATGATTACTTTGAAATCTACTTGAAGCCTTGGAAGAATTTCAAAGCTGGGTTTTGAAAATTTTGATGTCTAGGTTGGGAAAGTTTGAGAGCAAATTACAAAGGAAGAAATCTTGCTCTTCTTTCAACAAAGTTATTTTCTAGGTTAAGAGCAAACCGACTGAAAACTTTATCCAGCCCTTGGCACAACACTTTATAAAGGTGCCTTTTAATCTTCCATCTAGGCTGTTTACTATTAAACCCTAACTGCACATGTTCTGTTACTACATGACTGAGGGCCCTGAGCAGCACTCACCGAAGGACAGCACACCTCCAGTGCGGCCTGGAGGCTTTAAAGCAAAGCATAGGAGACCTACCAGTTCTGCTCCAATACCTGCCGGAAAAACAAAGACCTGAGTTCATACAGGGAGCCTCTGGTCAGGTCTCTCTGCTATGGTTTTAGGGATGGTAATCAGTACCACCCCCCATGTCTGTCATGTTGACTTATTGAAAATGGGACAACTTTCGAAAAATCCATCTGCCTGGTGACTCTTAGGATAACAGTGTGTTAATATAATAAACCACGACCACGTATGTTAGTTTTTTGCATCTAGTTTTAGACAAAAATATCTTGAAGTCTGTGTTGAAATTTCAGCTCTCCAAATAGGTAATGCAAAAATATATTAGCTGTGGAAGTTAACCAATCTTGAGTAATTCTATATTTATATAACCTCCATTTCCTTCCTGTAGACTGCCTTGCCATCCAGGAAAGGATTTCGGCACCAGACCACCAAATTTTTGTATCGTCTGGTAGGATCAGAAGATATGGCTGTGGACCAAAGTATTGTCAGCCCTTACACCTCTCGGATTTTGAAGCCTTACATCAGGTATCCAGAGAGCAGGCATGCTGTGGAGGGTGTCAGACAGATGGCATGCTCCCTGTACCCCATTCTGTAAGGACAAATGTGGCCTAACACTGAGCAGGCCCAGCAAGGACAGGAGCACTGTCTTCCTTGACTGGTATCAATGGCATTCTTGCAGACAGGATCCTTTGAAAGAGCTGTAAAAACAACGAGTTAGCTAGATTTCTTGGTCATTATCATAGTCATTATTTTAATTTAAATATTAAAAGTATAGTCTGTCAACAGAAAAAATCTGTCTCAATTGAACCAGTATCTGAACTGGACATTGAAACTGATTCTGCTTTTCTTTTCCTGTTTTTTAAAAATAATTTTTTGTGTATTCGTGTGTGTGTGTGTGTGTGTGTGTGTGTGTGTGTGTGTGTGTGTGTGTGTGTGTGTACACATGTGAACTCACCTGTGTGTGAAGGCCAGAGGTTGACTTTGGGTATCTTCTTCTTTTACTCTCAATCTTCTTTTTTTGAGACAGGTTCCCTCGCTGAAGCTAGAGCATGCTTTTTCTGATGGCTAGCTAGAAAGTTCCAGGGATTTCCCCTAGCTCTGGCACATACTGTCATTCCCACCTTTTGTAGGATTCAGGGAATCTGGACTCAAGTCCTCATGCTTGCACAGCAAGTACCCAGACTTCCCAGCCCTATTCTTTTCTTCTTGTTGGGACAACTTCTAATGAATGTTGTCCAGGCAGTGAAATGGTAGCTGAGCTTCCTAAAGAGGCCCTTGGTGGTATCTGGCACTGTGGCTGAGAGAACATGTGGTCTTCGCTGTGTCATGCTCTGCACCTTTGTCCTCACCCTCCTTGCCCAGCACTAGGTTCCTGGGCAAAGCTTGGAAAGGCTGTGCGCAAGTTTGCTGTAGTGCTGGCAGAGCTGGGTGGTCCCTCTGGCCTCTGGTCATGCTAGAGATGTATGCCTGTGTCAGGCACTTAGGGGAAAATCTAAATGTTATTTCTGTTCCTTACTTTGCTCTTTAAAGCTCACCACTGCCTTGTACAGTCCATGGTGTGTACCAATGGGCTTTGGCTTAGTGAACATTAAGAGTAAAATTTAGATTGCATGTCAGGAAGGCATTAGAGCTCTGTACAACCTAGCTAGCATATAAAGCAGTGCGAGTCAGTGTAATACTTAAAGCAGATTAAAGGAGATGTGAGTCAGATAGCTAGCAATAATATGAGTATTTTTCTTGACCTGAATTTGTTTATTTTCTGTGGTGCTGGAGGCGTGATTATGAGACAAAGCCACCCAAACTACAGCTCCTGTCACAGATTCGTTCCCACCTGCACAGGAGTGACCCTCACTGGACACCTGAGCCCGACGCACCTCTCGATTACTGCTATGTCCGACCAAATCACATCCCAACGATCAACTCCATGTGTCAGGAGTTTTTCTGGCCTGGTATGTTTCTACTTCCAAACCAGGCAGATCCATTTTCTGTACAGTTTACTGAGTCATGTTTTTAATTAGCGTCTTACATGTGGCCCTAAGCTCTTTACTCTCAGTTTCATTCCTCTGTCTCTACTAACATATTAAAGTATAAATGCCTCTCGATTTCCTAGGGTTAAGAAGCCAGCAATTAAAGTAATAAACAGTGTTTTTGTTTGTTTTTCTTCCCTGTTTGTCTCTGCTTCCAGAATAAAAGATTCATCCTGTTTTGCTTCTACCTATGTTTAGACACCAGGTAATGTCTATCTAAGATGCACAGACTGGTAGCTTGGGACACTTGGTTTTTTTACTTAATAATTCTTTATGGTAGAGAGTGTTAGTACAGCCAAAAGATGGTGTATGTTTGGTTGGGTTTTTTTGTTTTGTTTGGTTTTGAGTTTTGTTTTTTTGTTTGTCTTTTTGAGACAGGGTCTCCCTGTAGCCCCAGCTGGCCTGAAGTTCACTATCTAAACCAGGCTGATCTGGATCTCAGCAGTCCACCTGCCTCTGCCTTCGAAGTGCTAGGATTGAAGGTGTATGCCACTACACCCAGCAACCAAAAGGTTTTTGAAAAAACCAAATGCCCCTGTCATAGACTAGGAACCAGGGAAAACCAGTATGATTTGTCATTTTGTCAGCCAAGACCAAAGCCATCAATTAGAGGGACACTTTTCATTGCTAAATGTAACTACATCTTCTGTGGGTCCGCTCTGAAACTAATGGACAAGGTATGTCTTGCAGATGTTAGAGATTTCATCACATTTAGAACTCTATTCTCTTTTGGTCTAATAATCCAGTAACAGTACATATGATGGCAGAGTGCATGTGCTCCATCCCTCCTTCTGAGAGTGGTACTGGGACTGACAGTCACACTCTGGGAACAGCTGCTACTTCTGCCCTAATGTTAGGTACTTGATACACATTATGCACAGCATCGTTTTTTCATTTTACTTTATTATGAAAGTTGGCTCTCATAGAAAGATCTTGTAAATAGTGTGTGGGTGGGATAAGGAAAATGATGTTGGCAGGCTGGTGAGCTGGCTCAGCAGGTAAAAGTGCTTGCCAAGCAAACCTGACAACTCTAGTTCAATCCCCTGGTCCCACAATGGAAGGAGAGAACTGATTCCCAAAAGTTGTTCTTTGAGCTCCACACATACCTTTGGCACAGGAGCACCTGCACTCAGACACGTCATATACATGCACACACAGAAGAATAAAGAAAAATTTTTGCTTTTTAAAAATGACATTGGCACTCTCGGGGACCTTTACCCCTGCCTTGTCAGGGCTCAGTGTGTTCCTCATCTTAACACATTTCAGGAACTGAGGCCCAGAGGTATTTTAGAATGTCCCAACTCCTGAGCATGATAGAGGAGGCTGAGTCAAAGCCAGGTGTGTTACTTCTGATCCTGAGTGCTCTGCTACCCAACCTGTCCTGCCTCTCTTCTTTTAACATATGTTCTTAGAAAAGACTATGTTAATTTTGATATTTTCTAAAATTCATTTTTCTGATCTGAATGTGTGGTATCTATGGTAATGTCTTTGCCTCTAATTTGGGGAATTTTTTTAGCATGCAGGTGTAGCAATAAGTAACAGACTGAACAGCTTGGTGTTCATTATTTCCAAAAGGCACAAGGTTTGAGTGTCTGGCTGGTCTCTTCTTTAGGCATTGACCTGTCTGAGTGCCTGCAGTATCCAGACTTCAGCGTTGTCGTCCTTTATAAAAAAGTCATCATTGCCTTTGGCTTCATGGTTCCTGACGTAAAGTACAATGAAGCTTACATCTCATTTCTGCTTGTCCATCCCGAATGGAGAAGAGCAGGGATCGCCACTTTCATGATCTACCACCTGATTCAGGCAAGTTCTCTCTGCTTATGACTCACCCTAAATAATATTATTTACCTTTAAAGGCTGCCCTCAAAGACCTGGAGAAGGCATCCCCAGCATGGCCCAGTGGTGATACCTGGAAACCAAGTGAAAGGAAGCCATTGTCACCACTCAGGAGGCTGTGGAGCACATAGACAAAGCCTACAGCCCCTAGGACATGATTCTCTTCAGACTCAGGCTGCAGAGTGTTTGCTTGACTCATCTTTGTCTGTGGGCACCTTGCACCCCAACCAGACCATACGCCCCAGGGCCCAAACACAGACTCAATCTGTAGTACTTGGTGACGGCTGTGATTAGATGGTGTCTATTTACTATCTACAAACACTGACATCACCCCTACAGAATTGCTCTGCACATTCACAGCAGGTTGTTGTCCTTGGCATAGTAATTGTAGTCAGAATGCATGTGGAAGCATAGGGTGACTTAGAGAAAAGAAGGAAGCTGTCATTGCCTCCTACAGAGTTCTCACATTTGAACCTGACAGCCAGGAATCTCAAGGACTGGCAACTGCAACATCTCAGTGCCTTCCTTGTTAAACAACTTCTTAGCCCATGTGGCCTAGGAAACCTTGTTCTGTGTGGTAGACTAAATTTTAAGAACATGCCTTGTGTTTATAGGACTCTTAACTGTGCTCCCTAAATACAGAAATCTCAGTTCTGTCAGATCCAGAAGGAGACTTAGGAGTTCAGACGTCTATAAAGGTCTTCTAGCTTTATAGTTAGATTTTTAGAATTTCATATTTGTGCATTTACTTTTTTACTTTTTCTAGCATTTCTAGGAAAGGAATTCTTACACGTTTTGGAGATGGAGTATTAGCAATCCTCTAGAAAAGCAGAACTTCCATTCTCTCATCAAGGTTTTATAGTGTTGTTTCTGATGTTTGATATATAAATGTAATTGAATTATAAGTAACATAATGCAGGGGCTGACAAGATGGCCCAGTGAATAAAAGTACTTGCCACCGAGCCTGAAGACCTAAGTTCAATCCCCCAGACCCACATGGTGGAAGGAGAGAACAAATTCCCCATGTTGTACTCTGACCACATTGTGCAACATGGCACATGCATGCCCCCACACACAACCTCACATAATAAATAAAATGTAATTAAAATAACAAAACAATGAAGTATCATCTGTGGCCCTTGCTTCAGGGTGGAAATAAACCCTCCAGAGCACATCAGTCCTCTTAGTCTCGGAATGCACAGAATGCTCCTGAGTTTCTGGCTTTTGCTAGGTGCTACAGAACCTCAGCCCTAAGTTCCTGATTTCTGTTTGCTGCCCTCAGAAGAGTATCTTCACCTCATTCCCCCTCTGGCCATGTGGTTTCACTGGGTGTTTTTCGTCTCTTTGGCAGACCTGCATGGGCAAGGATGTAACCCTTCATGTTTCAGCTAGCAACCCTGCCATGTTACTGTACCAGAAGTTTGGCTTCAAGACTGAAGAGTACGTTTTGGATTTTTATGATAAGTATTACCCACTGGAGAGCACAGAGTGTAAACATGCATTCTTCCTGAGGCTCCGGCGCTGAGGTGAAGCCAGCCCTTCCAGAGAAGAGTGGATGCTGTCAGAGAATGGGCCTTAGGGAGCCGTTCAGACAACTATCTTCATGGTGGACCCTGGTCTCCAGGTACACAGCCTCCACACCGCCTAGCTGGGTGAGTGGAGCCATGCACAATGGTACGAGTTGGCAGCCTTTCCGCAGACACCCTCCAGCCCTTTCTGGAGCAGCCTTCCAGGAGTGGAGTGGACTCCACTGTTAACCATAACTGAGTGATGCTACTATCCTCCTCCCATGTAACATTGAGTGAACCCAAAAGAGCTGCTAAACTGATGCACTTGAAAACCTCCTTGTCATGCATTAGAGCTCAAGAGATACGAGAGCTATTAAAGATTTGCAGTGCCCACATGACCCTCTGCTGCCCTGGGATGAGAGATCATGAGATGACAGAAATGCGTCTGACCCTATTCCCAACCTGTGTGTCATTGACTCCAGGAGGACTCAAGGCATTGAAGCTGTTGTGTCTTGCTGACTTTGTCCCAGTCAAGAAGACTAAGCTCAGTGTCTATCTCCTTGTTGCGTGACCTGTTCTGCCTGTTAGCATCTCCTGGCAGGGAATTTGGTCTGGCTCGGGGAGGGTTGCGTTCCTGTCTTGACTTAGGAAAATGGCTTGGGATTGAAGTAGTTGAGCTGGATCCCTTCCCAGATCCTTCTTATGCCCAGGACAGTTGCATGACAGGCATGGAGGAACGCAGTGATACAGGCAAAACCCACTGTGGGTGTAGCCTACTCTCTCTGCTGGATAAGTCTGCCTCATGTGTTGTAGGGGTTGGAGATGTACCATCAGGTGTCTTTGAATCCTGCAAGTGCATTTCCAAAATATCAAATGTTCTCAAATAAAAATTTTTCCACAGAACAACTCACAGCCAGGCCTTGATAGTCATCTTGTACCCTCTTTAATTAGGGACAGTGGTTCCTAGCTTTGTGGCTTTGTGGGCTGTGGGTGCTTTTGAGAATCCAATGCGCTGCAGCACTGTCCCGCACAGCCAGATTATCCGCTGGGTGGAGCGTGTGGCACTCCTCTGCTCTTGGGCTCTCTTGCAGCTCAAACCCTGTGTTCACAGGAGGACAGCCTGCAGGTTGCTCCAAGACCTGAGGCCACAGTTGAGACTCCATTTCATTGGTAGAGAACTGGAGCAGCACTGCCTTGTGTCTGTTTCTTGTTCCTTCCTTCCTTCCCAAAGCTTTCTACCTTTTAAAGGCCTATGTTGACGAAATGGATTGTAAGCCCCGTGAAGTAAAATTGAGGAAGCCATGTTTCCCAAACCTGGAAACCTGTTTGCAACTGTCAAGTGAATATCAAACACCTGTGTGGCAAGTATATGTACCCAAGCATGGCTTGGGGTATTGACTCCATGACTTTCTGGAATTGAGGGGGGCTGTAACTACTTTAGTTGGCTTTCCTTTCCCTTCCTTCCTTCCTTCCTTCCTTCCTTCCTTCCTTCCTTCCTTCCTTCCTTCCTTCCTTCCTTCCTTCCTTCCTTCCTTCCTTCCTTCCTTCCTTCCTTCCTTCCTTCTTTTTCTTCTTTCTTTTTTGTCTCTTTGAGACAAGATCTCCCTGTAGCCCCAACTGGCACTTGCTATGGAGACCACGCTGTCCTTGATCTCACAGAGAGCTGCCTGCCTCTGCCTCTGTCTCTGCCTTTGCCTCCCAAGTGTTGGCATGTGCCCCCATGCCTGGCTATTTTACATTTTTTTTAAGTCCTTTTCTGTTTTATAAATTGCAGCTTCGTCTTACCATTTTACTTTATTTTTAAATTTAAAAAAATGTATTTTATGTATGAGTGTTTTGCCTGCATGTAAGTGCACCACATGTGTATAATGCCTGTGGAGGCCAGAAGAGGCCATTGTATCCCCTGCAACTGGAGTTAGGGATTGTTTAGCTGTCATGTGTGTGCTGGGGACTGAACCTAGGTCCTCTGCAGGAGCCGCCATTGCACTTAACCATTGAGTAATGTCAATACCCACGCCCCATTTTACATTTTTTTACTCTTTATTGAATTTTTGCCTCTCTTACATTTTTTAACTATGAAAATGTTTGATCCTCCAAATCAGAATGATGCAGCAAGAGCACTCACCAAGATGTTGCCGTATTTCCTTCATTATCCTTCTTTTGCTTTGCTAAAATATATTTTCAGGTAAATCCCAAATAGTAGTTGTACCACCACTTAAGTATTTCTGACAGTTATGGATATTTTCTTGTATCACATTGGTGCTTATTATCACTTTTTAAAAAGCGAACACTTTTTAAAATTACGTCTTAGTCAGCTTATAGTCAGACCTGACTGTATGTGTCAGCAGCCAGGCCAGGTTCATACACACAGCCGATTCTTACTCTTCTGCCCTCTAGTCCCTGGCCACATTTTGTCACAAAACGCACATCAGTTGCCTTGTGGTGTCCTTTGTGGGTGGAATAGACGATGGAATAGACGGGGTGAGAAGTGGGCCTGACCTTGTCTCTAAGCAGGACCTATGGGAAGGTTATTTCCCCACCCCCATCTCTGGCTTGGGAACTGGGGCAGAGCCATTTCCCAAGGCTGAATTTGGCACTTCCAACATGTGAGACTGCTGTTGGTTTTGTTTGTTTGTTTGTTGCCTTTGTTTTTGAGACAGGCTCTTGTGTAGCCTAGGTTGGCTTTGAACTGGTGATAATCCTGCCTAAGATTCCCAAGTGTTAGGATTACAGGTATGTGCCAGCATACCCAACTGTTTTGTTGGTTTGAGACAGTGTCTCACTGTTGCCCAGGCTAGTCTCAAATTCCTACCCTCAAGTGTTCATCCTACTTCAGTCTCCCAAGTACTAGGATTACAGGCATGTACTTCTTTCTAATAAAGCCTTAACTAGTGCTCTGAAGTGATTTTCTACAATGTGTAAAACATTATCAAATTCCCATGTTCTTTTGTTTACCTTCCATCCCACAAAAATGACATATAGCTGGGTGTGGTGGCTCACACCTTTAATCCCAGCACTTGGGAGGCAGAGGCAGGTGGATCTCTGTGAGTCAAGGCCAGCCTGGTCTACATAGTGAGTTCCAGGACAGCTGGGGCTACAGGGAGACCCTGTCTCAAAAAGACCAAAAAAAAAAAAAGTGACCTGAAAGAAGATGAGGAACTCTGCCTTTATTTTATCCCCTGGGAGGTGGCCTGTGGAAGCCAAGTAAGCCCTCAGTACTCTGTGAGACAGCTACCCTATGACCAGAATTAATGATATCCCTATTTACCTAGAGTCTGTGTAGAGGCTGAGCCCTGTTTACAACAGGATGCTTGAGAACCAGCCTTAGTTAAAAATTTTCTAAATACAGTTAAAAGACTTTTTATGTAGGGACTAGAGCGATGGCTCAGTGGTTAAGAACACTGGCTGCTCTTGCAGAGGATCCAGGTTTGGTTCCTAGCACCCACATGGCAGCTAACAATTGTAACTCCAGTTCCAGGGGATCTAATGCCCCCTTATGACCTCCAAGGACATGAATGACATAGGAACTTAATATAGGCAATACACTCATACACATGAAATAAAAATAATACAACATTTTTTAGAAAAAGAGACTTTATGTAAAGTGTGCTTGTCCTAATAGCCACACTGCCTTGGGATCTTTTCTGGAACTGTTCCCATCTCCACAGCTGGAGGGAGAGGCATCCAGGCTACCTCCACAATGCTGGATTGCTTTATGCACTGTGGTGATGGAAGGATATCCTACAGGTGTCTGTCTATGGGGAGTTGGGATAGTGAATAATGTACCTCAATCCTGGGACCAGCCATGGGGTCCTAAGACTTCATTGCTACCCAGTGGCCTCTAGTACTGGTTGGTTCACTAGTGTGTTCTTCTCTCTAAGAAACACTGCAGTTATTCATGAAAAACAAGTTAGCAAACTTAAGCAACTATCATGCTTCAATGTCCTCATCCATAAAATGGGGTTGGCAGAACCTCCCTCATGGATTTGAAGTGGCAGGCACATAGTCAAGAGAATTTAAAACAGAGCTTGTCTAGTGTGTGCAGGAATGGTGGTTCAGGTCCCAGCACTGCAAAAATAAAAGTCACAAACCAAGAACTCCGAGTTCAGAGCTTAACTACCTGATGTCAGAACCAGCAATCTTATCTGCTCTAACTGCACTTGGGACATGGGGTGCTCAGAACTGCTGGCACGGAATAGAGTGCCACACACTTTGGCTGATGGAGGGAGGAGGAGCTTAGCTGCTCCAGGTGCAGGACTGGGTGAGCCAGCTCAGCTCTGCCTCTTGTTTTTCTCACTTTTCAACTTTTCTTGCACTAGCCCTCCTCTGTTGGGCAGCTCTTGCCTGAGTCCTTGCCAACCCCTAATTGACTTCCTATTTTTGTCTACCTCCAGCTTGATGCCTGGTAGGTGTATTTCTTTTTCTTTTCTTTTTTTTGCTTTTTTGAGATAGGGTCTCCCTATAGCCCCAGCTGTCCTGGAACTCACTATGTAGACCAGGCTGGCCTTGAACTCACAAAGATCTGCCTGCCTCTGCTTCCCAAGGGCTGGGATTAAAGGCATGTGTCACCAGAAAAAACAAAAACACAATACCGTAATGTATATAAATACAATATAGAAAAACTTTTAAATAGGGACTGGAAAGATGGCTCAGCAGTTAAGAGCTCATACTGCTCCTACAGAAGATCCAAGTTTGCTTCTCAGCACCCCCATGGTGGCTTGCAACCACCTGTAACTCCAGCTCCAGGGGATCCAGTGCCTCCTGGACTCCACAGGCACCCACACTCACTTGTGCACAGACTGTCCCCCAACTAATATACACATAATTTAAAAATAAAAATATTAAATATTTAAGTAAAGGAGAAAACCATAATTTTGCATTTAAATTACTTTTTATCATCTTTATTCCAGAGATACAGGGATGACTCATTATATATGTCAATGTATGTAATAAGTTATATACACAGACTTAAAGACAAAAATCACATGATCATCTCAATGGATGCACAAAAGTTCTTTGACAAAATCCAATATGCCTTCATGATAAAAGTTAGAGGGAATTGGACTGGAGGAACATACCTCAACATAATTAAGGCTATATACATAAACCAACAGCCAACATCATTCTAAATGGAGAAAAACCTGAAGCACAAGGTTGTCCACTATCATCATTTCTTTTTCAGCTTATTTTTTTATTTTTATTATTTTTATTTTATGTGTATGCATGTATTGCCTGCATGTAGTAGGTAAGTGCACCTGTGTCGTGCAATGCCCGCAGAGGTCAGAAGAGGCTGTCAGATCCCCTGGGACTGGAGTTACAGACAGTTGTTAGCTGCCATGTGGGGGCTAGGATTTGAACCCGGGTCTTCTGCAAGAATAACCAGTGTTCTTAACCACTGACCCATCTCTCCAGCCCCTCAGCTTATTTTTTTTTATGCTTTGAAGAATTATTATTTTTTTAAATTTAATAACCACATGATTAGAAGAAGCATTTCATTACAGCTTTAACATATTCAGTAACACTCTCCAGAGCAAGGATACACCTCTTTCAAAAGTGCCTATAAAGTTTTAGGTTCACAGTTGAATTAATACAGTTATACAATATTCAACCCAGTATAAGCCCTATAAGACATAAAATTGGATGAGTTTTTAACCTTTAAAAAAGATCTCCATTTCATTTTAAAATATACTGTTTCTTACAGCTTATTTTTTTAAGCACAGAATTGTCATGAGTGGGCTATGCCAGAAAGAGACAAATATGTTTTTGTTTCTCCACACCAGAATTTATTGAAGAACAAATTCAGCGGTTTCAGTGGTAGCAATTTACCAGATAATTCCACCTGCCCCAAGATTTGGCTGGGGTGAATGCAGGTTTTTTTGGTTCCAATTTTAATTACTAATATTAACTGTTCT